TTGTAATGTTAAAAAATATGTATAGAGTAATGGAAGTAGGTGAAAAAAGTCGAAATTTCTTAACACGTGTAGTGAATAACTTGATCCCAATTGCAGAATAATATATATAATATTTCTCATTATCGGTTTCTGCTTTTTCACTATGCCATAAATTGCAGTTTTCCTCAAGCATGAAATTTCATCAATATCCCCATATGTGATAAAATTATACATTTGTTAAAATGAAATAAAAGATAAAATATAATATAATTTACTGGGATTGCATTTACCAACAGAACTAATCTTTTTCGTGCTGTAAATTGACATAAAAGCAGAACAAATTCTTTTCAATAGCAAATTATTTTCCTTCTCTTCTATTTATATTTCAGCTTAAACAATCTTTTTGTGATTCCATCCAGCTATTTATGTCAGAGAAAATCACATCTCACAATATATAACACCAGCAATAAAACAGTAAACTATAAACTTTTGAAATTTAAACTTGATGAGTGAAAGCTTCAAAAAACCAAATGTTTAGCGAAATAATTTAAAAACTTGCAAGTCTATCCCTGTCGAGATCAGCTTTGTTACCAATAAGAATCATCGGAAATTCATCTCTATCTTTTACCCGGAGAATCAGTTTATGTAAACGAATTGCCTCCTCAAAACTGCAGAAACATAAATGTAATTAATTAAAATGAATGATATAGTATTAAATGAAAAACATATGAAAAAATTTGCATTTCATATAACCAAATTACAAAACACCAGATTTTCCATTCCGAACTGCTTTCATTTTTATAAACCAAAAAGCATATCATTTGTGAATAATTAAACCCTAATAGAGGCAGTGAAAAAAGTTGCAATCTATGAAATTTATTTAAATGATTATTGGAACCGCGATACTGCATTTTGAGTATTTAATTAAAAATTTGCTCAAAAATACATAGTATTTTGAATACATGTAGTAATAGCATTAGCATTCGCAGTGAAATGATTGAAACTATTTCCCATAGAAATGAAAGCTGTAATTGGAGGAATTATTAGTTACAATGAAAAGTAAAAAAGATTTGTAGTGAGAGCGAAATTTATTTCAATGCAAGCAGATATTATCTTCAGAATAGTAGCTTTGTTCTTCTAAATATGCTATTTCGCGTTAATCTTAATCTCAAACCAATTTTTTAAAGAAAAAAGAATTATGCTTTTCATGTTGTAAATTATATGCACATGTGCTACGCTTTTTAGTACTATGCTGATAAACTAGTATTTGTTTTTCCAGTTTCGACTCCATCAATAATCGAAAAAAAGGAATAGAAAAATCTTGCTAGGTAATGAGGAGCGGAAAAGGAAAGAAGCATAAGAGCAATCATTTTCGCACAATTCTTCTGTTAAAAAAATGAAAATCATATATATATATATATACTTAGTACTCTTTAATGATCATGAATTTTCATCTGTCAAACAAGTAGTAGGTGAGGATATTTCAATATCAGCGTAAAGTTGCCACTACAAAATGATCCTTACGTTCGAACAATTATAATCTCAGATCGAGAAGCTTAATCTTACTAATCATCACAGTCAGCACTGATTAAAATGTAAGATGGTAATAATATGCATATATTTCTATTATTATAACAAATATAAAAACCCCTTTACAATCATAAAAGACACATATGTAACATCATTCGATCAGTCAATAATATAATCATCTTTAAGAACATAACATTATGCCAAAGTCCCTTATAAAAAATTATTCACAACATTATGCAATCGTTCGAAAGATGCGATTACTTTACACAGCAATACTTTGTGTTAAAAATGTTTATATATTGATGCAATGATAAATTGATGTATTTGTTCAACAAGAGCTTTTAACGAATCATTACAAATATGAATAAATATGTATTACTTCGCAATTTTGAATTCTCTTTGACGATTTTTATTTTCATTTTCTGGTATTTAAATTTTTTAGACAAAAATATTTTCAAATTTACTACTCTATTGAAGCAGTAATTTGTGATTGCCTACTTCATCACACTCTAGCAGCCATAATTTTTTCTTCCAATTCCTTTTGAATTATTCCCAGCAAACTTATTATTGTTACTTTATAAGTGTGAAATCGAGAGGATATAATTTAAGAACGAAATCATTATAATGTTCCAGAACGCACTGGAGTGATATGCATACTAAAATAAACAACAATGATGCAGCTTTCTGGACTGCAAGTCATTTATTTTTGGTTAGGATCAAAATTTAGAAAAATATTTAAAGTCCTACTCCTACGAAAAACACTTCATGTATTATTTTTGATTGAAACATGACATATTTATATTTTATCCATGACAATTGTGCTAGCACTTTTTCCCAAGTCTGTCATGATTTCACTTCTGTTTTTGTTATCTCAATAAGTACTGTCGCTAGTGATTAGTAAAACCATATTTCTCTTACATACTACACTGACTGTCAGGCATTATCAACGACACCAGTTCAAAAAGCATTTAAATGTACAGTTGTGTTAACATAATGAGCTAAATACTTCAGCTTGAAATTAGCGTCCATCAATAATATCAAATGACAGGCAATATTTTACAAATGTTTTATGAGTATTATGATAGAAATATCCATATTATAGTCATTTACAAATCATTTTTAACTTTTATTAAATCAAAATTAATAAATCCAAACCTATTACGATCAATTACGGAAAATACCAGCAGAAAACCATTGCCCGATCGCAAATATTGTTCTCGCATAGTGCTGAATTCTTCTTGTCCTGCTGTATCCAGCACTACAAAGTTAATCATTTATTAACAAATACCAACCGAAAATTTCGTGGAAGCTAAATAAAATTTTTACAGTAATAAGAAGTACTGGAGACTATGAATGAAATCTGTATAAAAATGAAACCACATTAAAGCTACCAAATGTATTCCCGCCACCACCTCACTTTAAATAAATTTAAACTAATTTCACTTAAGAGATTTAATCTAAATTTTCCTCTAATTTCAATAAACCAATTTCAGTTTCATTTAATTGACCAAAAGTGATTCTAATAACTTTTGATAGATTAATGACGATCATTTTCAAAATCTGAACTTTCTTAATGAAAAATAAGTTTTTCTGACTTCCCGAGTAATATGATTAGTAAATTATTTATGGTAAGAATTTTCTATAATTTGTTTGAGAAGTCTTTTTCTTTTTCTATGGAAAAGTGTTCGCTACGATGTAAACAAATTCCTAAATTTTCTTACAATGCTAGCCTTTTAAACAGAAAAGTAGTGAAGTCATTATGTAAACAAAATCTTGACTGAGCTAACAAATCCAAGCTAACATATGCAGGAACTAAACTTAAAAGAATCCTGAATAATGGCTTGCATCATGTATAAGCTACAAAGTCTGTATTATTATAGCATATGAAACAATACGTAGCGTTATCTCATTATCCATTGCTTAAGATTATTTTTTGTAATTTTTTCACATCAATTTTGCAGTATTTAGATAAAAGTACAAAAAATTTAACAATATTATCTACTTTTTTTCATTTTCAAATGTTCACTGCATTCGTGAATGCAACTAAAAATCGCTTTGAGGAAGCTTAAAAGCAATTGCAAAGTTATTTTTAGCACGGCAATTATTGATTCCTTGACTTATTTATTTTGTTCATCTTTCACTTCACTGTGTAAAAAGATAAGTTTTCAATAATTTGAACTTTCAAATAAATAAAGACAAAACTAAAACTTAAATATTCGTTACTCAATAATTTGCCATTTCTACATTTTCAACGCCATGCAATAGGAAAAGCTCTTAATGGTATAAATGCTAGTGTAATTTCTTTTTTTCGGAACGAATATGCAAACTTACAATCACATCAACAAAATGTGTCCTTTAATTAACTTTACAACACATGAAGAGACAGATGAAGCGAATTAAATAACCTTCTAACTTGCAGATGTCATCGTCGACAAAGCACTGTTTTGTATATGAATCTTCAATAGTTGGATCATAGTCAATAACGAAATGTCTCTAAAAAAGCTTAATATGGAAAGAAAAGTTAATATTCACAACTTAAAATATATATTAAATAATGCAATCACAATAAACATAATGAATTTAGCGATATCATCGACTTTCCGCAGTTATCTCATTTTAAAGCAATAAAATGGTCCATGGTACCCATCTCTTTTTAATCATCTAATAGATTTTAATGCAAGCAAATAATTAGCGCGCTAGAGTGTTTCATAATGAAATTAAATTTATCCAAAACCACTGTGAAGAATAATGACAATTTACAAATGCAGAGATATAATAATAATTGATTTACGTTATGAACCTGCAAGGACTTCTCTAGTACTTATCCCCATGTCTACTTTCTTTAGTTCAAAAAATAAACAATTATACAAATACATCCCAAAGCAACATAAATGAAAAACTGTTACTTAAATAGTGTAATCTTATCAGGATGACAACTATAACGTTTTGTTTACTAATGACAAATATGTCAGAAAATTTGTAAAAGAAAATGAAGGACAAATAAGAATTTGCAAATAAGTGTCTCGCGCATCTTGCATGAATTTAGTATCTCAAGAACATTCCAAATTTATAAACAGAACTGCTTTCTTGCTTGAACATATAACAACTAATGGAACAGGCTATTAGTCAATATTTTTCGAATTTATAGAGAAAGAGATAAATATTACCTGTACAAACTGGATTGTCAAAGCGGACTTGCCAACACCTCCACCACCAACAACAACAAGGCGCAGAAGCACAGGAGGCGATGTGTTTTGCTGTTGTTGTTGCTTCCAGTGTCCATCGGCTCTGGAGGACATCGAACATTTAACTAAGACGAGGGTAAAAATCGAAAGCTTTTGTTTTGCTTCCCCAGGGAAGAAGCAAACTTGCGGAAAGTTCACTCTTGCGAGTATCGCTTCTCATAAGTTGTTGGCGCAGATATCAATCAGTAGCGTCTGACACAAATACCACCATCCATTTATTTATCTATCTATCTGTAAGAACTTTTTCACACTATGCAGTGCAGGATATATAAATATATAGATAAATAGATACGTTGCGGCAACATATGCCAAAACAGCATATGACACCACAGATTATAAACTCCAAAACTGGGACATTTCATCGCAACACACACGCGCGTAAGCAAGGTATTGAAGTTGCAGACAACATCTTGACAAATGCGCAACATACTTCGTTCATTCCCGCTTTCGAATCGCTTTGCCATGCAAAATGGGAGAATCAAATATAAAATTATTTCTCTTTCCCCTACTTGAAAAATATGCTTCATGTTTCGAGAGAGGAAAGTGTCTTTTCACGTTGCGTATGAAGTGGGTAAAAAAGAAATGAAGAAAAAAGGAATTAAACAATATTTTCACTTGTAAAAATAAAATTTTGCACGTTCGCTTCACTAAAAATGGAGGAAAACTTTTTACGTTCTCAATATATCACGAATTAAAACAAACAACAAAAGTATATATCATAAAAGAATCCATCCATTTCTCAAAAATACAAGTCAAATCCTATTACTTTTCGAAATATAAACTGCAACTTTCCAACCCAAACATCTGCTAACTAGCGCTTGCTGGTAAAGGTAGATACATTTTGTGTTCTAATATGAATCCTTGTCACGTCCTTCCGATTCGTATTCAGATCTATTTGTCTGATCTATTTTTCGAAGAAAAGAATCTAGGCATAAGCGGAATGATAAGTCACCAGAAAACAACATCACTGATCAGTTACTCAAGGGCACTTACTTTTAAGAAATAAAAAGAAGAATTTGGTAAATGCAAGCTACAACATTTTCCCTTAGCTCACCCCATATTTTTTAATAGTAATAAATGAGTACAGAATAGGCACCTACCGCAGTGAGTTATTAGTATTACTGAAGATGAAGTGGAGATAAAGCATAAGCAAAAGTTGCTCTACCTGGAACACAATCCTTCAAAAAGGAGGATGTCATCAATGCAAATACTGACTTCCTTTTCACCATTTTATCCACCGTCACCATGTACTACAACCAACAAATAACAATATATCAATATGATTGATAGGCGATCACTTCTACGATCAATGTGATCAACTGCTTTCTAAGAGTGCTGCCATCGGACATTTTTCAAATGTCTATATGTCTGTTATAAACAAAACAAAAAAGACGCAAATTGAGATGAGTCGTGCACACATGCACATACGAACATAAAAACATACATATACGCGTACACGCCCTCTCAATTATCTATTGCTGTATTGGCTTATGATATGAGCATATGCCTCGTTTTTTGCATATTTTGTATATAATCTAAAATATTCAGTCATAATTCCTATTCTTTCCACCTATAATTGATTTTCACAGCATTGTAACTTTTATTTTTTCACGTCTTAAGATGACGACGATTACTATGAGTTGATATTTCACAAGCACTATGTCAACTTTGACTTCATGTCACAATCAAATATCCAAATGAAAACACTATAGAAGTTTTCCCTCTGCTATTAGAAAAGAAACTTGGAAGAGAATCCTTTGAAAAAAAGACGACTCTTAGTAGGAAAAAACCAGATAAGAGCTAAGTTGCAGTTTAGTTAATGATAAACAAAGAGCTAAGCAAATCAATCCCCGACTCATCTTGTCAAACAGACGGAGTCATTTTAGGAAGTGAAAGCAGACTACGAATTAAAATACTGAAACTAGATGATGCTTGCAAGCAGCGCTTTTAAGTTCAAACTAAAATAACTCATTGTTTTTGAATTTGATAAAAATTAAACAGCCTTACATTTTTGCTGTACCATAAAAGTATTAAGATGGCTGCTTTTGAATTTCAAATATGCGATTAGAAAATAAAGTTCTGAAAATTGTAGAAATAAAAATAAACTGTGCAAAAAAAAATGTTTCACAAAATAATAGCTAAACTATACTGTAGTTATTATCATTATTGGTAAATGCTACAATTTTTGAAAAATTTAGAAAAATTAGTGCAATATTATTTTTTGTACTAGGGAACAATATTTTAATGCTCAATTAGCCATTAAGTTGATAATTCAGTACTTTCTAAATTGAAATCACATGGAACTAAAATTAACATCGCTCGCTTTGAGTTTCAACCAATAAGACATGATCGATTCATCTTATATATCCATAATAAGTGACTTTTTTAAGAGACACTTTTTAAAAAGTCATTTTAAATAAATAATTTCAACATATTAGATCTTTTTGAGTTAATCAAGGATTTTCATATGTGTATTTCCTCCAAGCCAAACTTCACTTCATGCCATAATTCACATTTACAAATGAACATCAATTATAAAACTGCTGTCGCCTTCAGATGGTGATGACTATTATAATGCTTCCTGGCGTACTCTGTTCATTTCATTTTTGATAATGAATATGACCAAAAAAAAATGATTTGTTTTACTAGAGAGCTGTAAAAAATTTGTATTTTACTGGAAATAGAAAGCCAAAAATATGGAAAATTGCCTTAGCAGACAAACTTTGTGGTATCAGTGCAAAGGAACGCATTATATTTAAAGACAGAAAAATATGTGAATGATGATATATTATGGATTTGTAACATTAATCGCTACAAATTGTACTCCCTTTCTTTGTCGACAGTAAACATCGCGATTTTGGTATAGTTGCTTACAAAAAAATACGCGAAGCCAGGAGAAAAGTGCGATAATTCGAGAACGTTGAGTGTATTTGAAACTCCAATCTCGTAATCAAATGTAATCAGAATTACTGATCGCTTGCGCAATGGGTTATTAATTAAGGCAAAATAACCATCTATCGTATGAGGATATCAAGAGTTCACAATCATTTTTGAGTGGAAAGGTTATAAATTAAAACCTAAACACATTTTCTTTTAAAAGCCTGGAGTGCGCTTGTCGCAACGCGAACTTTGTTACAAAGCACAAAATCACGAATAAATTTAAATAAAGAAATAAGTCCAAATATGCGACAGACAAAACAAAGTGATATAATTGTTTTCTTTTTTGCACAAAAAGAAGAACTGTGATGAAGAATATAGGAAAATAGGACAAGTGATATAGCATGACTTGCCGTATCAGTGTTAATAATAATTCCCAATGACAATCTAATCAATGATGACAGTCATAACCCGGTTAATATGGATAATTGCAACTATGAAATAACAATCATAAATAACAACAATAGAAGCGATAATTGTAATGATGATAGTGATAGTATTCTTGGAAACAATAGTACTATAAGTGTAGACGATGGAAGCAGGTAGGAAAAAGATAAAATAAAAAAGTGGTTTAGAATAGAAACTGAAATAATGGAATCATTTCATTTCGTTTCCTCACATTTATTTTACTTCTACAAATAACCAATGAACCAACGAACTAACCAAGTAACCAAACGACCAGCCAGGCAGCCATAAAAAGAAACTAACAAATAACTATCAGTAGAAAAAAGAGTACTTTCTAGGATGATCACTTGCTCGCTCCTATCTAGCAGCCTCATTTTTGGAAGTACTGACAATGACTGAAGTGAAGTGAAGTGAACCGAACTAAACTGCTCTCTTATGACAGTTTAAATTAAAGGTATTTATTACTTTTCGCAGCCAACTGATCCACTCACCCATTTTACCTATCCACCAATCTATTCATCCATACATTCCAAAATGAAATGAACAATACACCAAAAATCAATTATAAAAAAATTGAAAACTGAAAATGGAGGAATGTGTGAGTGTCATCACATACAGCAAAGGTGAAAGAGAAATCAATGATGATGACGATGATGATGACAAGATGTTGAAAATGAATCGCTTACAATTTTTTCTTTCCTTTTTTTCATTCTGTTTCAATAAATGCACACATCTGCAAACAATTACTCTGTGATACTTGATACTTGCTCATACTTTCCACTAGTAGCAACAGCAACACCCATAATCGTAATATCACACTCATAATAATGAATACTAGCTATAATCTAAATATTATGATAGTGAAAATGGTATGATACATTAAATTATATTGAAAATAAAAAATATATATTCAGCTTGCTGTTAATAATCTGTTTGCCTTTACGTCTTGTGTATTATGAGGTGACTCGCACATGATTAGTGAATAAATTAATGTGCAAATTTCTTCATAACTATTTTTCAATAGTGCATATAACAAGCGTGAATAAATAGACAAATCTTAAAATTTTTATTCACTCAACTTCTGCAAAGAATAGAGGTGTAGACAAATTATTATTGAGTAGTAAAAATTTCATAGAAATTGTCCCTCACTCAATTATCGCTTTTAATTCATCATTGATGTGCAGTCATTTTCATAATGTTTTAAATGAAAGTTTTGCATTTCTTTCACCAAATGAAAAGTTTTGAAGACAAACACCAACCCATTTGTCATCTATTTAAAATTTTCTTCCGTATAAATATTTACGGTTATAAAAATTAATTAATTGATGAATATGAAGAGAAAGGAGTAGAGAGAGATCAAACAACTACAGGAGTTTCTGGTATGATGAAGCTATACTGTGTCGAACTGACGGCAATGTCTGGAGAAATAGTTAAACCGGATATGGGAATCGGCGCCTCAGCGGATGATGAATGCGCTAAAACGATTTGAGACGAATTCCGCCATCCGTTAGTAGAATTCGGCTGCTCTTCAGTGGATACGTTTAGTTCAGTTCCATAATTTGAAGTTACTTCGTCTGGAAAAGAAAATTATACCGAATATTTTTTAGCTTCCTTTCAACCTGTTGAAAAATTTTCAACAAGCACTAATATCATTTGCTTCTCTATTATTAGTTATAATTTCTATTTTTGTAATTGTTTATGCGTTTGAAATATAAGTTTACTCTTTATAATTTGAAGTGAATGGAAAAGCAAAGGTTGGTAATGAGAGATAAAAGCAGTTGTGATGAAATGAAAAATATATTGTAATCTCAGAAAATTTACTGCATACACTTATTCTTTCATGCATGCTTTCCTGTTAGCACTTTTTCCTATCTATCTATCTGCTTCATACCAAAAATCAAAATATTAACCTAATATATGACCATTATTGACTGTGCAATTTCCTCTTGCATAATTAATAAAAGTGAAGGGTTCAAAGAGACTTTAGAAAATAATATAGTTAATGAGCCATTCTGTAGAAATCTGAGAGTTATCTTCTATCAGACATTTAGTGTAGAAGTTGCCAGGGAGCCAAACGTGTAATTACGTATCTTGCGGAAAATAAATTTTATGGCGATATAAAAATCGCCATAAAGTTTAGTGCAGCTAAATATGGAGCAGATAATCAGTAGCTAAAAAAGCTCGTAAGAAACGATTTGCTGGACAAGTTTAGATTTACTTTAATTTAGAGAAGTTGTCATATTTAAAATATTGATTAATTCTTGAGTACTGCAGAAATAAACGTATAGAGAACGAAAAATTTACACAAATTTTTTTTCTTGTTCGTTTCAAAATGAAAAAACGAAACGTTGATTAACTCGTTTCCCACAAAATTCATTAGTAAGTAAAATGCTTGGAAACCATTGAAAATAACTAATTTCGATCCATAAATCAAAAAAAAAAAAAGATTTTTCCGTTTCAAAACTATTTTTACAAGAACTGGCTCGACCGGGTTACTATCAAATACGAGAACTAGTTTATTTGGTATTACTTCGAATGCACCTTTTGCAGAGCAATTCGTTGACTAACTGACTAAGGACGTTAATGAGAAAAATGCAAGATGTGAAGTTAGTAAATCAGAATTCAAATTATCTCTAATGAATTCTTGGACTTTAACGTACAGACTTTATTCACTCTCGTAATTATCATAAATAGCCAAAGTTATTGCTTGCGCATTTGCACAATTATTCTACTTAGCACACCTGCCACGATTGACTGAAAATTCTCCTATCATCAAACATGACAATTACCAAATATAATTACTTGTAAACATGAAAATTATATGGTTAAGTGACTGAACTAAATATGCAGAAATACAGTTCCACAAGCTGCAGCTTCTAACACATTTTATTGCTTGTAGATGTTATTGAGAGAATAACTTAATTGCCTACCAACGATATCAATGAGCTGCAAATGTGGACTCACCTGAAGTGCTTTCAGAAATAAAACTTGTTCTTATGAATCACAAAGGATGAGGTCAAAGGTTAAGATGAAAATGAATGGGAGCAATGTAAAAGAAGTTACTGAGAGGTACTACAAGTTTTACGCATAACAGAGAAAAGTATCCCTCAAAGTAAAATGGGCGAATTTCTGAATTTCTAAAACTGCTACTCTCCGATTAATAAAAGTCATATTAGCGAGCGAAGTGATCTCAATAACGTCAATTTAAGTACGTAGATAGCCTCGCCCTTTTCGGCAACGACGCTAAGTAAAAATGGTAACCATTTGAAGCCATTTCAATATTCTCCACTTCACGCCCTCAATTCGATGTCCAATCATTAGTTATAGCTTTCAGTAAGTGAAATAATCATTTCATGCTTAAGCAAACATACTACATCAAATCTGATAAATTATGCAAGCATTGAATATTTATATAAATATACAGTGATTATCCAACTTTAAAATTTTTTTCATATTTTTCTTTGATCCCACCACTGAAGAAAGTTTGCACAAACAGTTAATTAATCAATCTGGCATGAAATAGTGAGTAAATTATAATGTATATAATGACTAGAATAGGCAACAGAAATCAGTGCTACAGAAGCATCATGCTTTAAATATACATCCATCACAAGTATATTGGTTTCGTCTCTTATTTTCGTTATAATTAATTCATCATTTTATCTTTAATATTTTACAAAAATAATGTACTTCACCTTTTGATTCCCTTGAAATTAAATCCAGACATTATTTTCCTAATGTAATCTAACATAAAAATGCTACGCAGACAGCTGATACAATTGGCCCCTTCATTTAGTTTCATTGCTCTGAGCAACACGATTTTTACAAATAAAGTAATGTGCAATCTCATAACGTGACTCATCCTTTTTCGATGGCAGTCATTTTGCTGTTAAACATAATTTATAGGAAGCAAGAGAGCGTTGGATGAAATTTTCCTTTAGCCGATACGAATGAAATGTTAAAGTGCAAAGGATTTGTTGCACGAATTCACTTTTGTGAAAAATAAAGAGGTTGAATTGGAAATAATTTAAGCAAATTTGTCAAGTGCGTACAACTATGTGATACCAGTTCTTCTTCTGAAATTTATATTTCAAGTTTTCGAGTTAATTATATTTCCAATTATGTTTTCTTCATTTCTCTTCTCGCAACACTTTTTCTTTTTCTTATCTGCAAACAAAAAATTTCAAAAGATGAATTTTCACAAATGCTAGCAGTATTTAACAAAAAATAAAAAGATTTCTTCACTACTATTACTTATTACTAGAGTCATGTTCCCTTTAGATAATTAAAATGCTCCATGATAAGGAAAAGAATAAAATAATACAATTAAGAAGGTAAAGTTAAAATCAACGTTTTTTAATGAAATTCATTTAAATTGCTCTTTCCTGATTACTTTTTTATCCGACTACCTGTCTCGCCATTAACATGCCTTAAAAATGCTCGTAATAGATGTTAGTAATAAAAGTTTATATAAATAAATGCAGCAACTTTTCCAAAAATTACATATATTACTGATTTTGTAATTTAACTAATGAGCTAATTTCCAGCTGCGTATGTAAATAGAAAGAAGTTGTGTCGCTTCATGAACAGAAATGAGAATACTTCGTTCGTATTAAATGAGATGTTTACTTACTTCCGAATAATTTCTCGTTACCTGTTAAAATTCAAAAGTTCTTTCCATTTCTCGCGGCTCGCTTAATGCTAGAAAAGAGGCTTAAAGATTCAGTTTTTTTTAAAAACTCACATGCATTTTTTATGACTTGCACATTGTATACCTGGAATATTTGTCTGAAATATCAATTAAAACAAAAAGGTTTTTGGATGAATGAACCCGTAAAGAAGTTGGAATATACTGTGTAGTACAGAAATGATTTATTTTTCTCACTGTTCAAAAAATGCCATTTTGCTTGTGTTAGTTACAACCAGAAAATACATTAAAAATTCGAAAGCAAAATCTCTGTCAGTACAGACTACTGAAGAAAACCAGTTCGAATATATATCATATTACCTAACAGATGTTTGCAAAAATGAAGTATGCAACAAAAGGAAAGCTACGATTGATCAAAAAATCGAAATGAATTACTGGAAGTAGGAACATGAGCATATGAAATCATTAAATGCTTATATTCCATGAATTTAAAGGGCTAGTTCACGCACTCACACTTGAATAATCAAAAAATTATTCATCATTTCATAAAATTCAGTCGAAGCAATCAATATGTCAACAGTCGCTTAATTTTTAATTGAGAAATTAGAAAAGTTTTTATAATTCAGTGCCAAAAAAATCAATCGTTGTAAACAATATTCGTACATTTTGAGATCAGATACGAGGGTAGGTGATATTGCATAGTCTTCGAACAAATATTTTAGAATAAAAAAATTCGATATTAACTTGTTCATTCATAATCACACTTATTTGCTTTATATTCACATTTTTGTATGAAATGCATGCATTTTTGCTTTTTTCTTGTGAAATCAAATGCGTCAGTGTGCTCGGTTGTTTCAGTAGTTTTTATATCACTATTTGATGATATATAGATTTTGAAATACTATAATTTTAATTGTTTACGCATTTTTTTTTGAAATTTTATAAAATACTTTTCATTTTAGTCTTTTGGCTTAAATTTATCTTAACGGAAAGTAAAATATTTAGTATTTCATGATTCTCGCGTCCATTTTACTGTTACCCTCAAAAGCCATCAAATTTTATGAAACCAAATGAATCAATAAATAGAAAGAATTATTCATATTATTCAGGATTTATTGACTCATCAGTTTTAATACTATATTATGGTTGCCTTTTCCGCCAAACTTTGGTGAGAGAAACGAAAAGATTCTATCGATAGAAATTAGCATCAAATCAAAAGAGCCTAATAAAGATAATTAAGTAGTAAAATCAAAGGAAAGGATTTTACTCTCTCTTTTATAGTTTAAAGCGAGATCTTAAATGGATACTTCGGAAAAATCGAAAGTTTTCCTTTCTCAGAAAGCGGAACTGGAATGTTAGAAGGAGAAAAGTAGATGAGCATTTTGTTTACTTAAATAAACAGTGACACAGTAGTAGGAATTGATTAGATTATACTCTTTAAATCATCTCTCTGAATGAAATTTTAAACAACACGACAAAAAATCAATTTGGAAATTTAAGCAAAGTTTAAATAAGTTTAGAATTCACAATTTCGACGTGTTTAACGAATGAAAATTTTTGTAATTTACGAGAGCTTTTGAATATTCTAGCATTTATTAACTATAAAATACCATTAAATGCACTTCACCATTGAGTCGTCGTCGGAGTTGTTCCAATTTGTGACAGTAGCGTTGATCATAATTTGAATGATACTCTTCAATCATGCAGCTGTGATTGTTGATCCAACAGTGATATATGTAATTTATCAAGCTGATATCTGTCTAAAAAATGAAATTTGAAATAGCTGAAACTTTTATTATTTTTTTGAAAAAGCGAACTAATTTAAATTAGTTCTGATATCTGTCAACTACAAATTAATCAGTTAGCTTGCTTAGCTCTATTCTCAAGGATCAATCACGTTTAGAAATGCATAAAGCAAATATATGAAATTATGAAGCTAAATAATCGCAAAGAAATTTTTATCTCTCATTCTTACTTCAAGCGATCTAATTTTGTAATATTTTCAGCATTTTGAAAATATTGGTCTTTTAGAATCATTACGAATTTCATAAGGCACATGCAAACTTTTGAAAACAAATAATTCTACTCGTTTTCTTTGTGAAGTCAGAAGGATATGTTTTTAAATCGTGAAATCGTTCTTTATGAAATAATTAGGACTGATTTAGAGGAAAATCTTGTTTTTAATTGATGCTCATCATCACAAGTATTACATTTAGTTTGATGAATCACTCATAAGTTAATGCAGTAAATGATTTGCTGTCTACTATAATACAGAAAATCTAAACTACAGATAAATGCTGAAGATAGATAGATATGACCGACGTAATATGTGGACTATGGATTAAGTTAGAGAGAAACGATTGCTCTGAAAATGTGAATCCGATGGGCATAATTCGATTGTTTTCAAAGCAACCAAGCAAGCAAACACATAACGCAACAATATTTCCAAATACAGAGCAACGAATGTCACAGGTGTGATCTGCCTTAGACAAAAGTTATCTGGCACATAATCGCGCAGCTCCGAAGCTAGATTCTTTTTTATCGCGAAATAATTAGACACAATGGGGTATACATCCTACACAACAAATATGGTGACTTGGGGCAGAAAGAATGAATTGCTCAACCAGTCGCATTATTCTTTTGTCCGGTGAACACATGGCCATTTGAGAATGAACTGAGAGCCAAAGACACGTAATGAAATGCAACTGTAAACGGAATTAGATGTGGAATTATTATATACTTCGCATGCAATTATTTATCTCAAAAATTAAGACATTCCCAAATATTTGCATAAAACCATTTTAATATTCGGATTAATTGCATCTTCATGTAGATACAATTGAAAAACTTTCCGAATATAGGCTTCAAATTAATTTCGCTAAGTGCTTAGTGCGCAGTATTTGTCACAGATCTACCTGTATTATATATTAGTCTACTTGATACCTGTCATTGTAAAATGACGGTGTATTTGGAGCTTTCTACGTTGTTTTTTCTACTCATTCAAATGAACCTTACAACCTTACACTAACATTGCTATCCAATTTTTAGCTTATCCAAAAAACAAGCGTAATATCAATCTAAAATTACGTTTTAAAACTAATATATTTTGTAGTTATTCAATCCCTTCCTGCTGCGAACCGTTGGTAAATATAGTTTTCTTGAAATCATCGCTACGACCAATAATACTAATTTGTCACAGATTTCAAATTTTTACCAGAAATTTGGCATTACATACGCAGGCAGAATGTATCAAGTTAAAAGAAAAAGACTTTGCAGCTGCAGCAGATACAGGAAGAGCAGTTTTCAATGAACAGAGAATGGTACTGAGACTCACAACAACTGTTTGGCACGTTGCAATCAGCATTAATACCGAATTACTCATATTATTTACACATTCGTTGTTATCACAATGTTTTACTTCTATTTCTTGAAATGTATTACGTGGCATATTTCGCCCAATGATTCTAATAAAAAGCGTGAATACTGTAAGAAGTAAAAATTGTTTATTCATTTTGGATTGAAAAGGCTTTTGAAGATGATCAAAACTTTTGATCAGAATTTTATGAGCAATCATACATAATTTATAACTTTGAAACGAAAGTTTTCTGTCTAGGGAAGCAAGACAAAAAAGTATTTGTAAGCTATACAACAAATGATTTTTCGACTATTCTTTTCAAGAGTGTACCAATTGATTAACAGTGGAAAAATAAAGGCTTAAAAAAATCAGCAGATTACTGAAGTTGCAAACGACAGTAACACTATCATCACTTAGTTGATCTTCAATATCTGCCGTTAAAAATTTTATTTAGCTCGAAATACCTTTTCTTTTGATTTGAAGCTGCTTATGATTATATTTTTCTATTTGATTTTTTAATTTTCATTAAATAAAGAGTTGACACGCATTAATACGTTAAAAGCAATTTTAATAATAATAACTTAACTTGATATGAGTGTACAAGGCAACAAAAAATGCCGCGAAAAAGAGAAATGCGGAAAAAATAGTGAATGAGCTCAACAAAGTCTCCTTTTTCTCATTCTCTTTTCCGATCGTTTCCCTAAAATTGTTCAAGGATGTTAAAGTGCTAATACCAAATGCAAATAGCATTCAAAATAATTAAGTATAAAAAATTTGATTCACTTTTTACATTTAAAATCCTTCAGTAAAGAACTAATCAACTTGCATGAGGAAATCAAACACAGTCAAGTCGATAAATCATTAAACATTATTTTTTAATGAAAATGTGACATTTAAAATATAGCCAAGTTAACATGGATTGAAAAGTAAAAACAAACAGATTATTCTCCAATTTATCGATACTTTCCAAAGTTCTTTCAAAGCAAAAGTAAATAAAGGATGTAGCAGCCGTGAGAAACATAGTTATAGCAGCTATGATGAAGGCCATAAGATAGCTTAAATCACGTCGTGAAATCGAAGGTAAACGTAAGTTCTTCCACTGAAATCTAGACTGGATTGTATTTTTATCTTAATTAATCGAAGAGTACGTTCTGTACTGTATGTACTATGTTGACTTACCAGAATGCAATGAGTATGTTTTTAGATGTTTAACACTAATAATAAACTATTTGATGATTTTTTCACTTTGGAATATAATTTTTTGATTGATTTTATTTCTAGCATACGTCAATAATATGACGTCGACGATACTTGTAGAGACAAAGTTCGCAAACTGCTGGACGCTTCAGTTTACGAGCAGAAATGGTCAACCAGTGCTGAAATTTTGGAAAAAATTAAAAAACAAAATTTAATTTTACTTAGAATCAAAGAAAAATTTTGTGTAAATTAATTACCTCTGAAAACAAGTGATTAAGGCGTCTTGCACATATTCACGCTCTAGTTTATTCGCATTGTGCTTAGCACTTTCTCTATTTTATCTGAGCCAACTACAGTAATTTTAATTTGTTTAATTTATTTTCAATTTTTTTGTTTAATTTGTTTTCAATTTTCAGTTTCATGTTATTCTCTCAGTTAATCATAAATGATATTTTAATCTCTCAATTTGTACATATTTTGATTTTAATGCCAATATTCACATTATTTTTGTCACTGTGGCATAGTATAAACCAAATTTTTTTCTTGTCTAGATGATCTTTCCTAAATATTACTAAATCCCTTAAATAAATGCTATGTAAATGCTTTGTTTTAAACTATTTTAATATAATAGCAATAAAATTAAACACAGATTTCGCCTGATTACTATGATAATTAGCATAATTTGGTCAATTCGACAGAATAAAAGTGTAAGAACGGTTAAAATTTGGTGTCTGATAAAGATCCTATTCGCTTCACTCAATAAATTTTGCTCTTTAGAATATCTGCAAATATCAAACTTCAATTTGTTTAATTTATTTTCAATTTTATGTTAGTTTTTGTCTCACTTAATCATGAATGATGTTTTTAATCTCTCAGCTTGTGAATAAAAAAATAAAGCGGAATTTTCTGCTTTCCACATTTTATTCGTAATTAAAAATTGAAAATTTAATTATAACTCACTAGAAGACATGATGTATGGACGTACTTCAGAGAACCAGTACATCGACATGGAGAAATGAGAGGATCATCAAAACTACTGACACTATGACAAATTCGACAAAATTTTTCAATCTCAAAAGACGAATGATGGTTGCTGCTAGCAGGAATGAGAGAATTGCTATTTTGACTGGAGTAAAATGATATTTTCTAAAATTTTAAGTATATTCTTATTGAAATGATAATGTGAACAAGCCAAAAAACGATCAAAAATATGAAAAATAAGTTAAATTTGAATGATTTATTTATGTTCCATCAAAAAAATGCAACTTATATTGTTTGAATTGACCGAAGGCTATTCATTATTATAAATGCTACAATTTGTAATTGTAATAAGCATAAATGAATTTAAAGGCATCTAAAATTAATTGAGAATTGTTATAAATTCTGAATGTTGCAGTGATGAGATGATAACTTTATTACTTTTACCTTATTGTATACTTTTGGGCAAGCACTTCTGTTATCACCCAAGCAAACTTCACACAGTACTCCACTACTTCTGCTCCACTGTATGGCTTTTGCGGTTGATTTTGAATAGAGTGTTTTAATACTGAGACAACCATTGCTATGATGATACCAACATGTTTTTCTTGTGACTCCTACAAAATTTTAAAAAAGATGGGCAACATTCGTACATGCATACTTTCTCACATTACTTTTTATTAACTTATATTTTTTAATTCGAAAATTAATTGATTTTAAAATTTGAATTTTGAATATTATTATGAAGTCAATGCTTTAATCTCAATCTCACCACTTCACAAACTGAATTCCAGATAGCAATTTTGAAAAGAACGATATTTTCAAACTTTTTTATTTTATATTTATTTGTAAATAATTCTTCAAAGAAAAATAAACAACTTGTTGGTTGTGCTTTTTCCTTCTTTACTACTACTTGTGTTTAGATAAAAATATATTGCTTTTAGCATCCATCAAAAAAAGGATATGTTATAGCGATACTTTTTGCCTAGCTTTGAATAATTTTTTTGAAAATTGACACCCAAACATTGCCTCATCTCTAATGACAGACTTTTAGAGCGAAAAAGTTCAAAAGAGTTGAGCACTTTTTACTTGGAAAATAAGCAGGAAAATTCACATTACTTTTACCACAAAGCAATTTAAAAAGTTTTCATAATAACCACAAAGCAAAATTTCATGTTCTTCTTCATAGCTGTAAATACCGTATTATTTTATTTTTCAACATACTGCCTCATTTATGATCATAAAATCATACTAACAATCAAAGTTTTGTTTCATTTCAGTTGCATTAAAATTTTCGAAGATAAAAATTACTTGCTAATTCACTCCTTTTCTATGTATGAAACTGTTCTTAACAAAAAAGTAAATTTAAAAATACTATCCCACCAAGAGAAATAAATAATAAGCAAGCTGATAAACATTTATCAGGAAAACTTTTTAAAATCAAAATCTATTCACTCATAGTTCTCACTTTTTGAAAAACATTTATTTAAACTGATCAAATCATAGCTATTACTCTTTCACTCATATCTGGCTGAAGACCCACGCCACGACAGATAAAAAATCAATCAAAAAAGAACTATAGTTTGAAAACTGAATTTTTATTGTGATTTCCAATACTGCATTATTAAATTACTGCTGTCTATAAACTGTCAATAAATTATAAAATTCAGCAGTGTGAAATAGTTTCAGAAGTAATATTTGAACTTTTAACTACATTTATATATATATATATATATATATATATAT